CATTGATTTTATGGTGCAAATAAACTTGATTCATAGGAGGAAAATTAATATGGATGAGGAAGGTTCCACTCCCAGGTTAGTGCCAGCAGGAGCTTTTGCTGAAGGGGCATGATCAGTGATAAAGTCTCATGCCTTATAGGCATTTCACCCTATGAAGAAAGTTACGGAAATTCACTGGCATAGGAAGCAAAAAGCAAAACTAATTAGTAACTGGCAAGTAGTGTAAGTAGTGGGAGAAGAAAGTCAGTTTTCACTGAGATACCATCCTCTTCATTTATGTAAACTCACTTTTCCTTCCCAGAATAAACTGGTTCTAGATGCTGTAATTCAATATATTTTCCTTTTTTTTTTTTATTTCACTGTGAGTTTTGTATAAGGAAAGAAAGCAGGAATAGTCCGGAATCTCCTTAGACCTTGGCTGTCACCCAACATCGAACTCCTCACCTCCTGGCTATTATTATGCCCCTAACTTTCCTGGCCTCTAGATTTCTCACATGGGCAGCAGTAATAGGAAATTACATAATACGTCTTCATCTGCTTTATGGAATATAGCAAGCAGAAGCAAAGAGAAGAGGCCTCCTTATATCATGTGACAATGAAAATCATTAAGACTTGTTTTCTTTTACTACAGAAGAACAATTACTAGAATAAGGAAAATTAAGAAGTTTGGAAAATTCCTTCTGCTCAGAAGACAACCTTCTGAATGTGAACCACTGCCTTTGAATTCATTGCTACATTCACTATATAGAGTGATGTTAATTAAAATACTTAATCAATATTAATTAATTCTTTAGCAAGTGGACTGGAGAAGGAAGTGAAAAGTGCTGCAGGGAGGAAAAAGCAAAAGTAAGGAAGCCATGATGGGAGGGAAAACTAAAACAGAAAAAGGAGGCTGGAGGAAGAACAAGCTTAATGGTGAACATAAACATGAAACAAAATGTGATGGTAGTTTTTCAAATAAATAGTAATAAATACATCCTCTTAAAAATGTATTCACCTTTAGCAGGGGTGCACCGATAAAGATTTTTTTGGCCAATACCAATAGCCAATGATTAACCAACCATAACGCCCAATGCCGATCCAATAACCGATATATAGTAACAGTTCAAGGCATTTTAAACTACTAACATAAACCTTTTTGGTTTGTTTTGCTTGTATAACACGCAATACACAAAAGCATGCACTCTGCCTACTCTGGCCCCCAATGACGGTCTTATTCTCGCACATTGCCTTCTCACCCACAGCTCCTATCAGCAGCCCTGTTCCCTGTGCAGCCTGTGATGCTGTCCCAGCCAGGCAGGGCAGCCTCTCACACGGACATTGGCACTGGGCACATTTGGAGCCCCGGAGCATGCCACCACCAAGCGCCGGCAAGCTGAGTTCCTGCAGCTGCTGGGGAGAAGCTGCATTTGCAAAGGCACCTGGTACCCAGCGGAGCAGAATGACCCTCATGTGGCGCCTTACCCTGCCCACGCACAGCCCATCTCCACAGCAGTCCTGGCGCTTAGGCCCCTGCTGTGCATGCAGCATTGTCCTAGCAGTGGCAGCAGGAGCCAGTAACCGTCCCTTTGTTGCTGATTGCAGCGCCCTGTGACCACTACTTAGTACCCCCCCCGTTCCCCGTCCCTAATGCTTGCTGGGTCCCATAGTCTGCCATGGGTCTTGGGCCAGCAGCAGGGTGCGGGGACCAGACTATGCTTGCTAGGGTGCTCTGGGCACGTGGCTGTAACTATCATCTACAGCAACCAAAAAAGCCTAATAGCTAATCATGTCATTTCTCCTTTTATCAGTGTTGATCCGATAGCCAACTGATATATTGGTGCACCCCTAACCTTTAGTGTTAAGGCTTTTAGCACATACTACCCAGACAAGGAACAATGGAGAGTGTTTGAAAGTAATGATGTTGCTAAGGAAGTTAGTGGAAGCTCCTTTTTTTCTGTCTGTCAGCCAAAGCTTTGGAGAGTTTTATTAACAAATGTTAAAAAATTAGAATCTTTACAGATGTGTGAGAATTATGGGAGAAGGTGGACCCTGAGAAGTTTTATTAAGAAAATGTTAAAAATTAAAATCTTTATAGGTGTTTTAGAATGATGAGAGAAACAGGACCCCAAGCACAGTAATCACAATGGTAGGGTTGTAGGATGCTAAAGCATTCTTGGGCATCATCTTTAACATGCAGTCTGTGTTTGTCAACACTGACAAGTGCAAGGTGCTACACCTGGGGAGAAAGAACCGGCACCATACCTACAGGCTGGGGAACTCCCTTCTTATCCGTACAGAGGCAGAAAAGGATCTTGGAGTCATCATTGATGCCAAGATGAACATGGGCCGGCAGTGTGGGGATGCAGGCAGGAAGGCGAACCTCACCTTGTCATGCATCCACAGATGCATCTCAAGCAGGCCCAAGGAGGTGATCCTTCCCCTCTATATGACATTGGTCAGGCCACTGTTGGAGTACTGCGTCCAGTTCTGAGCGCCGCACTTCAAGAGGGATGTGGACAACATGGAGGGGATCCAGAGGAGGGCCACTCACATGATCAGGGTGTTGCATAAATTGCTAATTTTGTCCCCTGGAGGCTAGTTCAATTCACCTCAAGAAGAGAGTCACACTTTCAGGCTGGGTTCAACTCTATTTTATTGCTTGCAAGCAGGCCGACAGAGGAGCTTGTTGCTCAGATCAGTGCCGACCCTAAACAAAGGGCGCGCGCGGCTTTTATTGAGCTAGCATTTTTTAGTTGGTGTGTTACATTTTGATTGGTCATTACAAAACAAAACCTGGGCAACATGTAAGACATGCGTAGTGGGCCATCCTGTACCATGTGGGTGGAAAATTACAGAATGCAGGGGCTGACACTAAAACAAGGAACAAAGAAAGATAAAGAAAAGTATCTATTTTCGCTACAAGAGGGCAGCAGGGCAGGTCCTAGGAAGAGGCTATGGGACCTGAACCTGTTCAGCCTCCACAAGAGAAGGCTGAGGGGGGATCTAGTGGCCTGTTACAAACTAGTCAGGGGAGTCCCTCTTCCCCTGAGCGCTACCAGGAGTGACTAGGAATAATGGTCACAAGCTGACAGAGGGTAGGTTTAGGCTAGATATCAGGAGGCGCTACTTTGTCTAGATGTCAGGGCGGCTAAGATCTGGAACCAACTTCCAAGAGAAGTGGTGCTGGCTTCTACCCTGGGGGTCTTTAAGAGGAGGCTACATTTACACCTTGCTGGGGTTGTTTGACCCCAGCACTCTTTCCTGCCATGGCAGGGGTTCGGACTCGATGATCTGCTCAGGTCCCTTCCGACCCTAGAAACAATGAACTATGAAATTATGTTTGCCGGGGGTGAGGAACTGCCAGTAGCACTTGCAGTCTCTCTTAGAGTTGATAGCATTAGGAAGCTGTCTCTTTCAGGTCATCCCCTGCGCTCTCACTTCTGGCAGGTGGTGTTGGCTGGCTCTCTTCATACTGGTGATGGTCAGTGATGCACCCAAATTAAATGTCTGGTGACACTGATGGCTTCTTGAGGTACCTCATCTACTTGGCGTAGAGCCAGGGTGTTTGCAGGCTTTCAGGATACTCTAATTGCTCTGATCACTAGTGCCTGTACCATTATGTCACACCCCTTGTCCCACTGATGATGCATAGGGGGTGCACGCAGGTGCACATGCACCTCCTGAGACTGGTTGCTGCCACTGCTGCCAAAGACGCCTGCAGGCGGTCACCACTCACCACTACCACCCCCACCGTTGACAAGACCAGTGGCATCTGCGGGCCACCGCCAACACTGCCAACAGTGTCTGTGAATGGTCATCAACCTCTGGTTGGCACTTGTCACCTCCATCCCTCGCCACCAAGACCGCTACAGCCGCCTGCAAGAGCTCCCTGCTCACCTCTGCCACATCCCTGCCATCACCTGTGGGCAGGTGCTGTTCCCCCCCAGCCTCAAGAGGCACACAACATTCATGCCTTGTCCCTCAAGGCCAGGGTTTGAATGACATTTTGACTCTCGGGGAGGGGGGGTCTGCAAAAAAAATTGGGCTGCCCATCACAATGTTTTAATAAAATCAGAGACCCCCCCCCTCCGTTACAATTTTCAAATCTTATGGGACTCTTGTCTCTTATGGGGGGGGGGGCCGGAGTGTCTCAGTCCCCCAAGCTCCCTGGTAATTCAAACCCTGCTCAAGGCATAGACCAGGGCTCTACTTGGCTTGTGCTCTTGTGCTCCTGGGCTTTGGTGAAAGCCTGCCGCCTTTTTTTCAAAGTGAATAGTTATATCATTGATCAGCATCTTTTTCTTGTCCTCTGCAATTTAAACAATGACCCCATGTTGTGGGCTGCCCACCCTCCTGACAACACCACGGCTCTGGCCAACCTGCAGAGCTTCTGGCAGCGTGATGAAGCTGCGCTAGTCTGGGGAGCCCCGCGAGGTCCCCGCAGCGAGAGCACTGACCGCTTCCCGCGCCACTGCAGTGTCTCGCGCCCCGTTTGCCCCACACTGAAGTGCGGGCAGGAGAGACCTAAGCAGGACCCGCTTGTCTGCGCACGCCCAGGGCAATTTGCTCTGTGTCACGTGCTCCCAAACCCTGTGGGCCCCGCCGCTGGAAGCTGCAGCCGGGGGGCGGGACAGAGGGGGCGGAGCCGCCGCTGAGGAACTGCAACGTCCCCCGGCCATGCGCATGCGCAGGCGCGGGGCGGGCCCGGCGGAAGGGCCGGAACGCGGGGCAGGGGCCCGCGCAGTCGCCCGGACGGGGATTGCTGCCGGAGCGCGCTGTGCCGCCTCGGGCTCGGCTTCTTT